GTATATTGGTCGCAGACCAAACAAACGCTACAGCTGAAGGTGGATCTAAAGGATGCAAAGGTCTGTGGATGTGCGCCGCAAAGTTACTTCATAGGCCGCGAAAAATCAATAATGTGCACCAAAATTTTCACAGGGAGCCATAGCGGACTTTTCGCCGGTTTCGGTGGCCTTTAGTGCGAACGGTCATGGGGCACGAGGTGTAAATGCGTACAAGTTCGATCTGCACTTCTACGCCCTGATTGATGACGAGAACGCCACTTTTGTGGTGAACGACAACAAAATAGAGTTGCAGATAAAAAAACTGGAGCCGGCATGGTGGCCGCGTCTTGTGGCCACTCCCCAGAAACCCCACTGGCTCAAAATAGACTTTGACCGCTGGCGCACAGAAGACGATGTGGAGCTGGAGGAGGCGCCGCGAGATGTGCGACAGGACTATGAGAAGGAATACAAAGATCTGCAGAGGCGAGAACTCGGTTATGTCAAGGGTGAGTAGGGATGAGTGGCATTTAAACTGTGAGTTTCCCCAGCTTCATGCAAATATTACTTGCAGAGAAAACCAAAAAGGTTTACCTGATGTTCTACAACCTGGCCATGTTTGTGGGCTACTTGTATGTGGTGTCTGTCATGGGCGTGCTCTACTACCGCGATGGCTCGGACAGCATAACTAAGACGTACGCCCATGTGGGAAATGCATTCAAATTTATCCAGCTGCTGCAATACCTGGAGGTTATGCACCCGCTCTTCGGCTACACCAAGGGAAGCCCTCTGGTACCCTTCTTCCAAGTGTCGGGACGCAATTTTATATTGTTTTTGATGATCGAATTGGAGCCCCGAATGCATGCCAAACCCGTGGTGTTCTATGTGTTCATCATTTGGTCTCTGGTTGAGCTAATACGGTATGCTTCTGCCCCTTCAAATGAGTATTAAACCCCATTAATTTTCATTACTCTCCGCGCAGCTATCCCTTCTATCTCAGTCAGCTTTTGGGACGCGAGGTGGGCCTTCTCACCTGGCTGCGCTACACCATCTGGATACCGCTCTACCCCATGGGTATCGTTTGCGAGGGCATTATTGTGCTGCGAAACATTCCCTACATCGAGGAAACCAAACGTTTTACAGTGGAAATGCCCAACAAACTGAACTTCACCTTTGACATGGTTCTCTTCCTGAAACTCTACCTCCTACTGCTCATCTTGCCGGGCACTTATCTGGTCATGTCGCACATGTCCAAGCTACGTGCCAAGAAGCTCGGACGAGGACGCGGCAAGCGCAGGCAGCTCCATGCCGACTAGTTCACGCACTGCCAGGTGCACTGTTTTGTTCCTTTTACGACAAGTCGTTGGATATACCCTTGCAAAGGCTCTTTTAACTTTAGAATTTTGTAACGCTCAGAGAAGACCATTTCTGACCATTTAAATATACTCGTATGTATTGTTAATCAGGAAAACAACCCGAATTTATCCAGCCATGTCCGTCTGTCCTGATGTACGAAAGCTTACAGTGATATCCATGATCCGTAACATTGTAGAGTAGAGAGACTTTCTATAACCATACTATCACTGAATGTTTTTCATGACGTAACATATGGCATAAGCTATATCTAACGCGAGATCTGTAACCCCATCTGTTTCGAACCATAGCAACAAACGGATGTTAACAGAGGTTAAATCTGTTGCCCAACTGCAAGGGTATTTGTACATCGGTGCGCCGATGATATTTTTATGCATTTTTCTAGTTGCGTTTTATAAAGCATGAGACCCAAAGAATTATCTGTATTCATCATTGATTATCATTAAATTTTCTCCTTCATATTACAAATGTCGCTGGTTGATTGATTAATGGTGTGGGCTTCCCTGAAGTATCTGAGGCAGTATATATATTGGAACCGTCAAATCGAACCAGTATATAGCTGCCATTAGATCTTTTTTTTAATATTTCAAATTGGATTAAATGTTTGACAAAATAATTCTTAGAAACCTGAGAGAATTATTTTTGTTCCTGAAGATAATTCAATCACATTTTTCCACATTAATATTTCATAAATAAATAATCAAAGAAAAGGCATACAAATCATATAACTCTCGATCTTCATTAACGTTGAAAACTTCAGCTACTGAAGCGAGTCCTTTGCTCTGGTTATATCAGTAGTACCTGTAGAACAGTGAGTTTGTATCTATAAACAGATTTAAAGTAAAGAAACTTCCTTTCTCTGTGCATTGCTGACCCATTCGGACAAATCAAGGGGCAAATCCAGTTCAATTGGTTGGTAAATTAACATCAGCTCAAAGGTCTTTTTTATGTCGAGCGTGATTTGTATGTGGCTGGAATGTGTGTGCACTGTACATATAGAATATCTGAGCCGACATACCAATAGACCACGTGCACTGAGGGCTAACATTCTGCCAGGCGATGACTCGTCCGCCTTTTGTGCCGTCTGATGGGTAATCCAATTTGCACTCGAGAGCGATGCACAAGTAGCTGCCGATCCACTCGATTGGGAACTGGCTCTGATTTCTAGCCGGCACTCGTTTTCCGCTCCTGCCTTTGTCATTTTGAGGCGAGTGCCCCACATGCGGTCCAATTATTATTTATGAGAAATATAGCGTGGATAGACAACGTCTATCTAAAGGTCTAGACCTTTAACTCGGCTCGAGTTCCCTTTGTACTTGGGTAATCAATTTGTGAGCAACGGTTGCGACAGAAACTCAAGTTCCTTCGTTACTTAAGTCTGATGAAGTGGCGCACTAATGGATTCGACGCAAGTGCAGCCAGCAATTGTCACCTGGAGGGTGAAATAAATGATCCCAGCCCAGGCGAGCAATTAATTCAGGCATGCAACTAGGTCCTCCTCCAATGAAATATTCAATGCAATTTGCAGTTTCTAATCTTCATACGGTTTTTTTTTTTTTTGGTTCCTTTTTGTACTTTGGAAAAATCGCATGGTACCGCACACGGAACTGAGTCAGACCGGGGTTAACGCACAACTAATCACTAGCCATGGCCGACCGGGACCGCGACCGGCAGCTAATAAACCCCACGGAGAAGGCTGCCCACTTGCTGATAAATTAGTTTTTGATTAATGCCAGGCACGGTACACTGCGATTGATTTACAGGCACTGACCAGCCGAGCTTGGGCCACAATTCAGAGGCAGACAAATGGTCGGACTTATGCCACTCGAAGGCTAGCCAGCAGGGAGGGGGCGGGAGACGGAGCTGAAGATGAGGAGCTGCAGACGTCAGCAGTTGCTTGCAGTTATGATTTAACTCCACTGTCCTACTGTCCCTTTTTCTACCCTCCCCCTTTGGTGGGTGGGTCATTTATCAAGCACGCCTCTGGCAGCAGCACTAGGCGGAATGGTCAGCACCAAAGCCACGCACCAAAAAGTCCTAAAATATGAACAATTGGCCTAGCGTGAACTGCACACAATCAAAGATAAGTGTCGGTCGGTCCTGACATTATATACAATAGCAATCCCAGTACATAAATCTGTCTGTGGGGGGTGATCAATCAATTTACCAAATTAAATACCAGCAAATAGAAGCAGCTGTCCAGATATGAGATACTTTTTACGTCAGTGAGGGTCTTAAGACTTTCGCCATCTCCGACCCCATTCCGGCAGCTTTACTTCAGCAAATAAGTGATTTCCAGCGCCTTAAGGACCGCCAAGGACCAAAGAGGAGGGAAACCGCAGCCGGCACCACTCTCTGAACTTGTTAATGACCCCTTTGTGTCGGACAACGAAATGCATTTTCCGTGACGACCACATGGCACGGCACTATGCAGTGAAACGAGCACTAATTGCAGAACACAACCGCAACGAGGCTACTGCCACACACCACAGTTGGGAGAGCTGGCAATAAAATGCAATAAAATCGAATGTTACCGAGTGCCAACACACACGTGCTCTTACAATGCAAGCATCAGCAAATAATATTCGGAATTTATATTTGAGTGCTGAAAGGGCAGGAGACGTCGTCAATGGAGCTTCCACAGAAATCGCAGTCGGGGCCAGCAACAATTTTTGGATCCACTTTCGACTCGGATTGGTTGTGGCGCATGACTGAGCCATTGATGCCATCCACTCCCCCCACACAAACATATCTGGTCTTAGGCCCTTGAGAGTCCCATTCTATTTTTGGGAAACTAGTTCATCGGCAAGCATCTTCAGTATTTGAATTTCGGCTGAGAGGAGCAGGAAAAGAACTATTGGCCATCAGGTCACGTCGGTCGCATCGGTCACAGGGGCTTCGGGGCTTCGGGGAAAGGGCACCGGCAACAGACACATTTTTCTATAGTTTATTTTCACAAAAGTTATGATAAATGAAAAGCAGTTGCAAACAGATGTTTGTGATAACTACTTGAACTCACAGACCACCACTCCTCATGCTTTGGCTTTCAGTTTATGAAAAATGAGCCAAAATGATTATTTGATGGCAGCTGCAAAGTGTTGGGGCAGCAATCAAATGTCATTACTTAGAAGCTGCTAAGAAAGCGAATACAGAAAACACTTGCAATTTCAGAGCTTCCCCAGCACGGATGACATGAGGTGGGGAGTCCGCAAGGGTTCCTAAATTCAGTTTATGGATGCACCGCAAACCATATTGCACAAAGCTCGTATGCTACATTATTGACTCCGCCAAACACTGCCACCAAATGAGGCATCCATGAAAAATACTATTCAAAAAGAACCAGAGAACATAAGATAGAAGAGGTCCGTAATATAATGCCTGTTCCCTGAACTTCTGAAGAAAGTGCCCTTGGCATATGGGCATTTTAGAGATGATAATTTTGTAATAAACAAGCTATGCAACGAATACCGAGAATATTATGCACTGAGTTGATAGCTAGAGGAAAAATATATCATGCATGAGTTATCACTTAAAGACTTACATATATATAACATATGAATACATACATATATTATTTTAATTGTGCTCATTTTTACATGAGCATCGGACCCATTTCCCTCAGTTTGCTTTCGAATCGACTGTGCGAGAGTCAAGTGAAACATGAGGAGCTCGGCTTTCTTGGTCATCGTCTATGGGCTTTTGTTACAAGGAGAATCCTCCCTCGCCAGTGAAGACCAAGAAATACATGTCACGCGGGAAGTTAACCTCGGGGATCAGTGCAATGGATATTGTTTCTTAGTGTTAAAGCCCTTCCTGGATTTTTTCACCCAGCTGAAAGAAGCAACCGATGCCAACAATGAAATGAAAGACAAAATAAGCTCATTGGAGGTCACCATCAGCAATTTGCAGAGCCAGCTCCTAAAAAACAATATCGAACAAATCAAGGACAGAGAGATCCAAATCAAGGACAAAGACAACCAAATCAAGGACAAAGAGAACCAACTCAAGGACAAAGATAACCAACTCAAGGACAAAGATAACCAAATCAAGGTCCTCAGAGAGCAGATGGAACTGGTTTCTGGAGTGCTGGCCGAAAAGAACGATCAACTATCGAAAATCAGCCAAACGGCGGAGAACATTCCCGAAACGTGTGGCAGTGGCACCCCAAATGGCGTTTTTCAGATAAAGGTCAGGGGAATAGAGCCGTTCCAAGTTCCCTGCGTATCGGATTCGTCTGGGTGGACTGTCATTGAAAGGCGGTTCGACGGAAGTGTGGACTTTAATGGAAACTGGACGGCTTACAAAGACGGATTTGGAGATATCCGGGGAGAGTTCTTCCTTGGTCTGGAAAAGGTGCACTTGATGACCGTAGCTCAGCCTCAGGAATTGCATATACAGCTCGGAGATGTTGATGGCACTTACCGCTATGCCAGATATGACAATTTTGTTGTGGGAAGCGAAGAAGAGGGTTTTATGCTTAAATCACTAGGTGAATATTCGGGAAATGCTGGGGACTCCCTAAGGTCGCACGTGAATGGAAAGTTTGCTACTGTTGATCGGGACAGCTTTAATAAGTGCGTTAATTCTTTTGACGGTCCGTGGTGGTTTCAAGATCCAGAGTCTTGCGGACACAGGTAATTCTCCAATTTTCCACTCGAAAACACGACTCAACTCATTTTTATTTAAATTTTTCCTTTTTAGTTCGTTAAACGGTAAATATACCAAAGATGGGATAGCCCATGGAAAAAATGGAATTTCTTGGGGCAACTGGAATAAGTTTGATTACAAACTCTCACTGACTTTTGTGAAAATTATGATAAGACCTAAGAGTCCGCAGACCTGAAGAATAATAATATATTTAGTTAAGCTTATCTTTGCTCAAGTAATGTAGATCCAATAAAATTTAAAATTTTTCACCCGACAAAAAATGGTTACAAAATGTCTGCCTTTGAGTTTTTTGAAAATTGGAAGTACTTCTCGGGCTTTAAGCTTTTAATAATTCAGGTGGCCACTTTCCTTGTAATACTCACAGCGAGGCGTTGGCCAGTGGGCAGGCCATGAATCTTCAATGACCCCCACTTACACCCGACCTAAATGGGTGACGGGAAGGCACAGGCAAGGACCAGAAGGCAATTGTGTGGTGAAAGTACTAAATGCGTTTTCCTCTCTTAACCTTTGCCTTACCCTTTAGGATGGCATTATACAATTAGTGAGAAGCAAGCTTTTCCGACCCCGTTATATATTTAATAATCATGAAATCCCAACGAAATTAATCTTATTCATAGTCTTCTATGAAGGAAAACATTCGTGGGCGAGATTTTTCCAAAGAAATTTCCTTGAAATAAGTATTATCTATACCCAAAATATTAATAATCAGTACAATATATTTTTAGAGTTAGATTTAGATTTAGTGCCGTTCTTTAGGGAAATTGGCTTGTTTACTTATCGTTGACTTATCGCTGGCTTGGCTGGTCCAAGGTTTTAGGTAATGACTAAGCAAAGCGTTAATCCACGGAAGTGCATAATTCGAGTTCGACGGTGGAGTTTTTTCAAGAGTTCCTTCAAGTGACTGAATAAATATCAAAGCCATTTGGCTGTGATAATATTTTGTTCCGAGTCTTCGGATATTTCGAATGTGTCAGTTTCGGCATCCACATTTAGTTATATCTAAAACCAGACTACAGGCATATTTATATGAGTTTTTACAAGAATTAAAAAACACAAATTACCTTTAATTTTGTAAATAACAATGATCAAATGTGATTTCTGAATGCTGTTACTATAAGAAGTATAGATCTTGGTGTCTTATGGACAGAAGAAAAGTGAACGAACTTTGCGGCAATGGACATTGATTCGGCCTCAGACTGTTTGTAGCTTTGCCAAGTCCTCCGAGACCTCCGCACAGCTCTTCAAGGATCTCTTTTTCTTCCGACAACCCCCATTTGGCAACTTCCCCTCGTCGGGCAAACATCGCTTGCGCCGGGAATGGTTGGAGCGTTTATTAGTCTCGCAGTATCCATCGACCAATTCGTAACCTGGCTCACAATCATCGAACGCAAACCTTGACACTACTGCGACATCTCGGCACGCGTTACAAAACTTTATTTCCGGCGGCTTGCACCTTAGTTTCTTACGACCAAACACCAGGACCGCGAGGCAGGCCACCTGCAGCAGAACCAACCTTATGTTCATCGTGCGATTGAGTGGGGAATGATGGGTTCAAGTTCTGGGTAACATTAACATGGTTCCCGCCTCATTGGTTATGGATAATACCGGGACATATCAATTTGTTCCCCACAAACAATGTACAATGCACTGTTACTGGTGGAAAAGCAAGGAATATGGAGAAATATATGGCATGTTTCGAGCTGTGTCTCATTTCAGTTTAGTTCTTTAGGTTCTTAGTATAATTCTCCAGTTTTCCACTTGCCTTATGACACTCGACTTTTCGGACGCGTCGCCCACAGCGGAACAGAACGTTGGCCGGCGGCAGGCAATGAATCTTCAGAGACGCCGACAGACCCCGCTCAACCCAGAAGGGTGACGGGGCGCGACAGACAAAGGCCAGGCAATTGTGTGGCGAAAGGACCAAGTGCCACATATATTTTCACTTATAGCTGGTTGAAAATTGGCTTGGCTGGGCCTAGGCCTCGCCTCTGCCTGGGCATAGTCCTCGATTCAGCAATGGAGGCCAGCGCAATTACTGAAGTGGATAATTCGGGTTTGACGCCGGCGGGGGCTCTTTAAAGAGTGTGACTGAATAAATATTTAAGCTAGTTTATCGAACGGAAAGAAACTTTCTTTGATTATTCAAGTGGCAAATATTTTGGTCCGTGTCTGAGGATAATTACATAAATACAGGCATATTAAATCTATTGCGATAGTCAGCCTTTGGACATGCATTCATCCATGCAAAGTAAATAATTATAAAACTTTTTTATTCATTTCACTTCACAAAAAAATGGCAGCAATTTATTTACAACATTTTTCGTATAAAATTGCCTGCATTCCATGCTCAAAAAGGACCTTCATAAATATGACTAAAGAGTGTCTAAGACACAATTTTAATTAAAAATGTATTCACAAAGTGACACAATTATTTGGGCCATAAAACGTAGCAACAAAACAAAAAGGAAACCCCTGAAAGCCCTACAGAAAGCCTGTCTTAATCCCCCATAGAGGAATTATTAATTCACAGAATAATTACAAATTCTTTTGGCTTTCTTCGTGGGGCTGTCCATTTTATTTCCTGAACAAAAAAATGCAAAACAAATTTTTGGAAATTGTATAGCAGTGGCTTTATTCACGACCCTGCAAAACGAACTATACTATTCATTTAATATTTTCTTAAAGTAGATGGTTTTTATTCTTAATATTGCTTTTTGCTGCTTTTTATCACCGGACATTTTCTTAGAAAACTTCATGAATATCAACTAGAACTAATACATTGACTCCGGAATTGATTCTAACCGTAAGCAATGGATCCAAACGCATAGAATCTAGCATTTTTGGCCACAATTTCAGGGTCTTTTCCAGGGCTTGCCCCAATCTACAGTCCTGTCGAAGGACTGAAAGCTTTTTGGATCGGTGCCGACCTGAAGGAAGAAACGCCCATTAAGACCCGAGTAGAGCAGCCACAGAGTACAATATATCCGCATATATCGACTAAATATACGTATATGTTCTCAGACGAGAGGGCCGGCATGCTTCTTTTGGCCCTTGAGCACACGGCGATTGTGGGGCATGGCATAGCAAAGTTTGCTCCAGAAGAGTGGATCGCCCCACTTGAGATAGGTGTTGAGCTTCAGGTAGGCCCTCAGCTCGCTGTCAATGCCGTTCATGTTCTCCAGTTCCCTGTAGAGGATGATGATGATGCGCTTGCGCTTGTCCTGCAGTGTGGCCTGATAGGCAATGCGGAACTCCATGCGGGCCCACACCGAGTCGATGAAGTGCTGCGACAGGATGATGATCACCCTCTTGGAGTCGTCGACGGTGCGCACGATCTGCTCCGGAATGCAGTCACCCACCAGCCAGTCGCGATCGTGCAGACATATGCGGAAGGGATGCGGGCCACACTCGAGCTTGGGCAGGAGTTTGCTGATCAGCTCCTCGTCCTTGTGCGAGTACGAAATGAACGCGTCGTAGGTCTTGTCCTTGTCCAGCTCCTCTTCGGAGACCCACCACAGGCACAGGTTGTTGTTGTACAGCCAGATCTTCAGCTCCATCTGGAACATAAGGTAGAACACGCTGATCAGGCAGACCACAATCACCAGGCCGCCCACAATGCAGCTGATGAGCAGGACATACGACGGGCACAGGTCGAAGGCCTCCATTTGCTGGAGAGCCTTGTTCTGACGACTGCACTGCAGCTCGGCAATGTCGTCCACCCGCTGGGGACTGGTCCTGACAAAGAACAGCAGCGGCAGGGCATCGCAGTCGCAGATCAGGGGATTACCCGACAGGGAAATGGTCATTGAATTGTTCTCCTGCTGCAGAAACGTGATGAACTCCTCGCTGACCACACTTATTTGGTTGCGGCGCACATCCAAGTTGCTCAGGTTGACGGGAAGCTGCGCCCCCGAGCCCAGACTGGTAATCAGATTGTCGGCCAGCAGCAGGGCACTGACATTGGCATAGCCAGTGTGTTGGTTGACAGTCGCGGGCAGCTGGGTCAGGCTGTTGTTTCCCACCTTCACCACGGTGCTGACGAGCGTTGTGTGGGGCAGCGCGGGCAGCTCCTCCAGGCTGGCCCCTCTGCAGTCGACGATCAGCTTGCACGAGTTCCTCTGCACCCAGCAGATGCAGCGCTGGTCGCACTGCCAGTCCTCCGACTTGTACTGGCACGTCTCGTCGTTGGTGCAGATTATGGCCTCGTAGCTCATCATCAGAGTGGCCCCGTAGAACTGGGTGTTCGACATGTCGATGAAGTTCAGGCTTCGCACTTCTCGAAACACGGTCGGCGCCAGGGCAGTCAGGGAGTTCTTGTTCAAGCTTAATATATTCAGCGAAGTGAGTGGGATAAATATCGTGCTGGGGGTGTAGGAGATTACGTAAGGATTAGTACTTTTATCTACCAAACACTTTGCCTGGATCTGTGCGGGCTCTCTCTCTAGGCATTTATAGCTTTCCTGTTTCCTGCTTCTAACTCTTTGAGTGATCGAATCTATGACCTATTCTTATGACACATACTATTCGTGTGCGTAGCTCTATGGCTACTCATACTACAGCCACAACATTCTAAAGTACCGAAAAAAGTTTTTAAATAAAATACTTAACGTAGCATCGATGGAACTCTGATAACACCCTTTGACTGTCTTGGGAGACACGGAATACTCGCTGAGCTATCGCTCTGCCGTAGCTGATAAGAGATAGCAGCAGCCCCAGCCCGAGCCCCAGCCCGAGCCCCAGTCCGAGCCCGAGCGATAGGGCGCCGCTGTCGAGACCCTGTTTTCTGATTAATTGCTCTGTCTTGAGTTGAACCCTATCGGCGAGAGGGCCATCTTTTAATCAGCATAGCACAGCACGCGAAGGCGACAAATGAGGCAGAACAAGAGAGCAGGGTGGAGCACACACCTTGATAAGTTGGTGAGTCTATTTTTGGATAGATCCAGAATGGTTAGGTTGCCCAGGCCGTAGAAGACCTGCTCGGACAGACTGTTCAGCCCGTTGCAGGATAGATCCAGGGTTTTCAGGTTCGCCTGGTCTCGGAACATTCCGCCGGGCAGCCTGGCGAGGTCCTCGTTGCCGTTGATTCTGATCAGCCGCAGCTTTTCGCTGCCCTTGAACATGCTCTTGTTGACATGCCCAGTGGCCTGGGACAAGCGCACCTCCACCAGCTGCTTCATGGAGCTGAAGAGATGCGGCTGCAACTCGTCGTTGCGATCCCGTTGCGGGCCCGTCAGCTGCAGACTGAGGTTCCGCAGCTGCTGGAGCTCTCGCATCAGAGGCTGCTCGAACTGCACCATGCTGGGACTCTCGATGGTCAGCTTCTCCAGGCTGCCCGTGACCGAGGAGAGCAGTTTGCCCGGCAGAACCTGCACATTCACGGAGAGCTCCAGTTCTGTGAGACTGTCGAAGGCGTGGAATATTGTCTCCTGCAGCTGCGTGACATCACTGACAAACTTTAGCTTCTTCAGCCCGGGAACTGAGCCGAAAAACCACGTTGAGATGTTCGCCGGAGGGGCTGTGCTGTCCTGCTGATCGGTCACGTCGAAGACGTCTTTGGTCACGACCGTCTCCGAGGTGCGGTCCCGGAAGCGCATGGTCTCCACTGACTCCACTCCCAGGCCGTCGAGCAGGTCGTCGACAAAGGTCGCGGGCCAGAAGTTGTACGCGTCAAACTCGATCTTGACCAGCCCGGTTATGTTGAAGCGCGGCAGCCAGGTCAGCCCGTCGACGGCGTAGTAGCTGACGTAGATGGAGGGCCCCAGCTCGGACATCTCGAGCAGCAGGGCGTACTCGTCGGGGCAGTGGAAGCGCACCACATTCGCCTCCGCCGCACAGCTGCAGGGCGGGTCCACCTGCTGGCAGAACGTTGGCAGCGGTATGATTTGGCCAACAGTCACTCTCACCGAAACGGCCCAGAGGAGCCACACGACCACCACATTGCCGAACATGTCTTGAGCACTTTGCCCCACTGTTTATTGGCATTTATTATAGATATTTGCGGTGTATTATTCTTGTTATGCGACGCGACGAGGCGACCGAGCGTCGGAGCGAACGCGGCGTTGGACGATGGGTGAACACGGCCACGATTCGGCTATGACTAAATCACAGCTGTTTGGGCACCAGTCAGCCCAGGTGATAACAGGCCAATTGGCTTGGTCCGAAGTTGTTCTCTTTTTTTTTACCCCTTATCACACCGTTTCGTATCGGAGTCGAGAAGGAAGCCGCCGCCAATGCCAGTGCAAACATCAAACTAGGGATGGCAGTTGCCTCAAGTTTCAGCGCGATTTATATCTTAACAATGGAACACTGAGAACTTGGCTTTGAATCAGAGTCGAGTCGTTCGAGGGTCTCACCGAGCCTCGTAAACAAAATTAACCATTTAATTCCGACTTTATTACAATGAAATCAAATTGAAAGGCACAACAAATTTCCCATCTCTAATCGAATGTCCACAAATTTATTGCACACCTTAACTGCTTAAGCAGCAAATCGATGATTTATTTGAATATAACCA